GTGGATGGTTTAAGAAGCTCTGCGGGTAATTCTGTGCAGCAGTAGCTGGGAGGTACCCACGTGGCACAGAGGAGGGCTCCTCGCCCAGCGGGGGCGGGGGCGGGGCGGGGCGGGGGAGGGGCGACGTGCTGAGGCCACACAATGAGCCAAGTTTAGAGCACATTCTGAAGTCCTCTCCACCCACCCCACCCCCACAGCCCCCTTTTCAGTGCAAGACTCCGCTTCTCTCAATGAGAGACCCCATCTGCCCGTGAGGTGGGTGTCAGGTCGCCCCGTCAGGTCCAGGCGGAGAGCCCTGGCTCACTTTCTCATCTGTCCTCTGACCTTTGGCCAGTTGCTCTGCCTCTTTGAGCCTCAGTTTTCTCACTTTTTTGTGGGGTTGATTCTAGTGATCCTGCCTACTTAACAGGATTGTGAGGATAAAAAAGGAAGTTAGACTGTCTGGAGAGGTCTTAATTTCAAAGTACCAAATGTTTTTCCATGTGCCGGCTCTGTGCTGAGCACCACTGTGTGCAAAGGTGGTCACGACTGGCTGAACTAACCACATGAGATAACCAGGTAAATAGACATACTCATCCTTTGCCCAGAACTTGGGCTCTCAGCCTATGACCCATCTCCCTTCCGAAATGGCCCTAGCCCTAGAGCAAATCCCCTTTTCTCGGGGGAAAACACCATCTACCCGTCAGTAGCAGAACGAGGACAGAACTTCTCTGGAGAAGACCCTGGTGCCTTTATCGGACCACCTCTCACAAGCTAATGAGCCCGCTTGGGTGCCATAAATAGACACTGCCACATGGAAAAGCACAGTTCGCACTTGCCAAAAAACACCTGTTTGTCAGCGTGTAGATGGGCCAGCCCTCTCCCACCTCAGGGCCCCAGAGGGTGTCCCTGGGCTCTGCCCCGACGCTGCCCGCAGGACTTCCTCATGCCCCTTCCCTGAAGACCCCTTGGGGAGACGCTCCTCACATCCCCCTGGTCTCCTTGGGGGGGCCTCTGTCTTCTCCACATCAGGGGCTCCTATTGTGGCCTCTTCCTACCGGCTTTCTGATTCTCCGCCATTTCCTCTCCCCAAAGCTCATGGTCTCTTCTTCTGCTGTGACAGCTGTTATTTGTTGAGTGCTTTTTGGACACCAAGGACTTCACAGACACCATCTTCTTTAATCACTGGGTAGTCCCGGAAGATAGGTGCTGAGCTTCTGGAGATCAGGGCGCTTGCCCGGCGTGAGCTGGCAAGGGCAATGCTGGGATTCTGTGTGACTCCAGGGCCCCCCTCCTCCTCATCCCTCTCTGCTCCACTGCTCCCATTCTCCTGGGAGTGAGGGTCCTGGGCTGCAGAATCACTGGGGCCTCCCTCCACCCCACCCGCCACAGTGGGTACGGAGAGCTTAGCTGGAACAGAGGCAGTGCTTGTATACAGAAGGCGCTCAATCCCTGCAGGATGAATTGGGGAGGAGCTGAGAGTGCGTGGCGATAGCTTCATACCAGGGCTCTAACAAAGGAGCTGGATGATGAAATCTTTTTCCTAAAACTCCATCTTCCCCCACCCTGCTTTCCCTTGAATTTCTAATCAGAAATTCTTGAACTTGACCTTCAAGAACCCACTTTGTACTGAGTCCCAAAGGCTTCTTCTCACAGCCTGGTTGGAGGTTAAGGCGGGAGGGTAGGGTAAGAGTGTGGGAGTGAGCGGGCATGGAGGCCCTTGGCTGACACACAGGCCCCCTCCTTGCTTCAGTTCAGGTGCAGGTGGGTTCTGGGGCATACAGACCTTGTTGGTTGGAGACAGGTGACTCACACTAGCCACTTCCCCTGTCCCTTCCATGCCCACTCCCCTCCCAGGGAACAATGGAGCAGCTGGGAAGACCCCAACTTGGCAGAGGATAGTCCCTACATTTGCCTCAGCCACTTGGATGCTCTCAGCCTCCATTTCCTGTCTGGGGTGGAGTGGGCACCAGGAGAGGACCCCTCTACCCTAAGGAGTTTCTGGAGAAGGAGGGCCAGGTCTGGAGTGGCTTCCTTAGGCCCTAGCAAATGCGGGAAATTGTGCCTCTATTCTCACCCTGTGGTCTCCTTAGAAGATTGTCCAGGGGCTCAAGAGGACTCAGGCCACGCTCTGTGGGTAGGCGCCTGAGCCTGGAGCCTGGGCCAGCCTGTTCAGTGCCCAGGGGGCCGCCCAGGTTGAGTTCTCTGGAAGCCCCTTCTGAGGCTTTCCTCCTGCCTGCTCCTGTGGGAGGGACGCTGGACTCTGGATCTGAGGGTCCCTGTTCCTGGGCCAGCTGAGGTGGCAGTGTGGACTCTGATCTCCCAGAGCCCCGTCCTGGGGTTGTCATGGATGGGGGGAAATAATAAATCGTTCTAGACACTTCTCTGTATGCCAGGAGAGGGGTATGGCTCCTTCCTGCAGTAGAGAGGGCCCTGAGCCCCTGTGTCCAAAGGCTTTTATTGAAAGGGTTATCAGTGGGGCTAGGTAATAGGAACGTACAGATGATCTCATTACATCAGTATGTTAATGTTCACAGAGAATAGATGATGTTGAGAAAAACAAATGGCAGGAACACACCGATTTACATGGGTCCATTTACATGGGTCCGAGACGGGATGAGTAAACATAAGAGTGTAAACATAAGAGTACCAAAGAGTTTAGGGTGAGGGTCTGTGAATAATGTAAATTTCCTTCCCAGCATGAGCTGGTTATCATAGCATTTGAGGGAGAAACAAAGCATGCTTTAAAGAATTTACTTCTAGGCCTGATTTCCCCTGGGAACCGTCAGATCCAGTTTAAGGCTGTCTCCAGTATTGTTTCAAATCTGAGCCAGGTGGGGGGAGGGCAAGGCAGCCAGGAAATAAGGAGACTTTTTTTAGATGAATGAGGACCCCAACCATATCAAAGCCAAGGGGCGAGGGTCTTTTTGCCATTTCTGTGTCCCCCAAGTCCTTCCTTGATGCCCTTATACAATTGTGCCTGTCTTAGGTTGCCCCTGCCAGCGAGGGGTCTTACCCATCATTGATTAACCAGCCATCCTCCAGGGCCAAGCAGGGTGATATGAGGGAGGCAGGGGCACAGCCACTGCCAAGGAGACAGGTTTTGTCTCCTCAGTGGCCTGTTTTCCCAAGGCCTCCTTGATTAGCTCCAGCCTTGGGGCCCTCTCGCCTGTCGGCGGGGCTCATTCCTGAAACCAGACAGGGCATTTCCCAGCATGCTCCTGGGCTCAAAGACTGTGGCACTTGGCTGCTTAGACATCCCAATGGTCTGCCTGGCCCTGGCCACTTTATGGCCTTTGCTTAGAAGGCCGTGGTGATGAGGCCCTTGCCCCTGCCTGTTCCTCTGATGCTAGGCAACTTCCAGGGGAGGCTTGAGAGGCCCCGGAGCCCTGGGGCTTTCAAAGCAGTTGTGGATGCCCACCTCTGTGTCCATTGCGGCCCCCCTGTGGCTGCTGTGTGATGCTGGAGCCCCATGCCATTTCCCCCCCAGGCCTGACAGTCATCTGGCCCCACCCCCACCCGCCTTACCCCTGCACTGCTCTGACCGTTGGGTGTGTGTCAGACTCAGGATGAGATGCGCAGCTGTGTGTGGCTCCTCATGCCCCCTCCCTCCGTCCAGAGGAGGCCAGCAGTGAGCTTCTTGGCACTGCCGGCCTCCAGTCCCGAGAAGCCCTTCGGCCGGCCTGGTAGGGCATCCACCAGGAGCACTCTGGGAGCTGTTTGCCAGTTTTCAGCAATGCCACCGCCCCACTGGGGAGAGTAGGGAAACCAGGCATGTTCATGGTTTCATGCCAGGGAGCCAGGCCGTGTGGGAGCGGCTCTGCCTCCAGCCACTCATGGGAAGTAATCTGCCATGGCCCCTATGTCTTGGAGACTGTGTTGTAGCCAGAAGAGAGGTCTGTGCTGGGGATCAGGAGACCTGGGTCAGGTCATCATTTCCTATCTCTGGGCTTTCCAACCTCTCCTGTACACAGAGTGGGCTTGGCCAGATGACCTCAGGGGGCCGATTCAGGATCCTCTAAAGCTGAGTATTTGCAGCCAGACTATGGTAACTGAAGAAGCCATCAACATTTGGAGGGACCGCGGCGCTCCTTTCTCTCAGTGCGCCAGCTGGTATCTTCAGGAGAGTCAGACCTTGAGTAAAAACAGTCCCTGTGCAGCCTAGAAGGGAGGTCCTCCTTCAGCCCCACTCACATGGTGGGCGCGTGTCAGGCGAGGGGACTGCCAAGGGAGGCTCCCTAGCAAAGGAGGAGAGCGGTGTTGCTGGGACATCCAGGGTGTAAGAATCACTTTTCCCAGGAAGTATGGGCCCCCTCAGACATCTGTCCTCATGGTGGGGACAAGGATGAGCCACGGGGGACTAGAGGAGAGGGATGGGGCCCCATGCTCTCAATGCCAGGGGCCTCGCCCCTTCTGCTCCTAGGGCCAGCCCTAAGCGGGCCCAGGTCCTAAGCTGTCTGCGGTGAAGGCATAGGAATACTGTCCTCCAGTTGAAAGCTCTGGGAGTCAGAGGACCATAGCAATCAGAAACCCCTGCACCAGGAGGGGGCAGCCCTGGGGTCACGTGGTCTGAGGGTAGGCCTCGCTGAAGTAGGCCTCACCGAAATCTCCATCTCTCCCTCTCTCCTCCTGCTTCATTTCCCGGGGCCTGCTGCTGCTTCTTGATCCCAGGAGGTGGAGGTGAGTACTGCCCGGAGCTCCACCCTCCCCTCTCTCTTTGCACCCTCACCCTCACTTCTGCCCTGTAGTGTCCAGTGTGGGATTGGGGGTGGAGGATAAGGAGCTTACGGAAAAAGCTGGAAGGGGTTCTGGACATGGGTTTAGGGGGATAGAAGTCTGGGGGAGGCAGCTGGCAGACCCTGGGTGGACAGAGGTCATCTGGGCAGCTACCAAGATGGTGGCAATTTACACGTGCAAGCAGTGGCCCAGCCCACTTCTCTCCCTGGCCCTGGAGTTGAACCCGCTATGAGATGTGAATCTTGGCCCTTCCCTCTCTCCCACCCCCCACTGTCCTTTCCTAGGACGACTACATCAAGAGCTGGGAGGACAATCAGCAAGGAGATGAAGGTAACATGCCCCCCGCCCCAGGTCAGGGAAGGTGACTGACACCCATGAAGACTGAGGCCAGAAGGCAAGCCCTGCCCCTGGCCTTGGGGGCTCCTTGGGCAGCCGCAGAGCTGAAGAGCTCTGGTTATCAAGAGCTGCTGGAGAGAGGGGCGTCTGCACTCAGAAGTGGGGCTGGGGGATCCTGGGATCTCTAGCACTGATTCCGAGCTGACCTGAGTTCTGATCATGTGTTCCTGCAGCCCTGGACACCACCAAGGACCCCTGCCAGAAGGTGAAATGCAGCCGTCACAAAGTGTGCATCGCCCAGGGTTTCCAGCGGGCCATGTGTATCAGCCGCAAGAAGCTGGAGCACAGGTGAGGGCTTGGGGAAGGTGGGAGCCCTGGAGAGGCAGGGGTTTGACTGACCCTCTCCTACGTGTTAGTTGTTTATTGCTGGGAAAGAGACTACCTCAAAACATAGCATCTTAAAGCAACAAATGTGTATTGTCTCACATTTTATGAGGGTTAGGAATCTAGATGGTTCCGGCTCAGGGTCTGTTGTGAGGTTACAACCAGGATGCTGGGTCGGGGCTGCCTCATCTGAAGGCTGGACTGGGGCTGGAGGAGTCACTCCCAATCTCCTGACACAGCTCTTGGCTGGCGCCTCTGTTCCTGGTCAGGTGGACCTCTCCATAGGGATGCTTGAATGTCCTCACAACGTGGCAGCTGGCTTCCCCTTAGGCGAGTCATTTGAGGGAGGGGGAGAGCAAGGAGGAAGCAACATGTCATTTATGACCCAGTGTCGGAAATTACGCATTGTTACTTCTGTCACTTCTGTTTGTTAGGAGCGAGTCATAAGTACTGCCACACTCCAGAGGAGGAGAATTCAGCTCCGTCTTCAGAAGGGAACAGTGTCAGGGAATGTGTGGGCTAATTTAAGGCCACCACGTTCTGAGAGATGAGTCACCAGACATGGGACCTTGGGAAAGTCATAGCGCCTATCTGGGCCTTGCTGTCCGTATCTGTGAGACAAATAGGTTGGCTCCAATAGCTTGAGGCGCCTTCCAGCTCTAGCATGCAATGACTTCATGAAATATTTAAGGTTGAAGATTCTGAGGCTAGCAGAGGAGGGGCGGGATGGGGGCATCTGAGGCCTTAACTCTAGCCCAACGACAAGACCTGGAAAAGGCCTCAATTCCCACCCTTCTTTCCCTGAATCATAGACTCAGAGCCCAGAGACTTAGGTTTCAGTGTTAGGTGCCTGCAGGGGCCCGGCAGGTAATACGAGTTTGGAGGAGAGCTCAGGGACGGACCAGGCCGGTGAGCCCAGGCCCCGTGGAAAGGGCACTGGCTGATTAGGCTAGGGGACTGCCACGTCTCCCATTTTAATACGAGAGGCCAGGAATCCAGGTTTTTATATGAACTCTTCTATTGTGTATATGTTGGTAAATAACTCAATTAAGAAGAAGAACTGTGGTGGCCAAACAAACTGCGTCTGCAGGCCAGACGTGGCCTGTGGGCCATCAGTTCGCAGCCTCTGATTTGGTCTGACCGTTTCAGCCAAGCGTGACTCCCTTTTACACCTCTGACAGACTTGGCACTGCTGCCTGAGGGCCCTGCTGGACTCAGTAACCCGGAAAAGGGGGAGCTGGGAGTCTGTGCCCTGGCCGGTTGGTCCCGCCCTTCTGAGCTGGAGGGGGTCTGCTGGAGGGGGCGGGGGAGCGTGGCAGGGTCAGGGAGATGCCTGCAGCAACCATAGGTTGCCAGGACCAGCTTCTTCTTGGAACTAGTTTCCTGAACCTTCTCTTTCCCTCTCCTGCCCTCATTTTCACCTCTATCCTTGTGCTTTCCCTGCCCCTCTTTTCCTGTAAGGATCAAGCAGCCTGCCCTGAAACTCCATGCAAGCAAAGATACCACCTGCAAGCCCTGTCACATGGCCCAGCTTGCCTCTGTCTGCGGCTCTGACGGCCATACTTACAGCTCGGTGGTGAGGAACCCTGGCCCCCGTGGGGGGAGGGGGGGGGTAGGGGGTACTTGAGGCCACAGAACAGAAAGGACTAAACGGCTAGCCAAGGCCTCCGGGGAGACTCCCAGTGCTGAAGTGGGGCCAGAAGGGCTCAGGTCAGTGCATTCAGTGTAGCCAGTCAGAGTAGGGACACCTGAGCCCTGGGCTGGGGCTACCTGAGAGTGGCCCAGACCCTGCCCCTGACCTCAGGCAGGTGCAGAAGTGGGGGTGGGGCCTGGAGGAGGCAGGTGGGCAGGTAACTACAAGTTAGAGCAAACAGGAAAAGGCCTCCTGAAAGCACCAAGGGCCACGGAAGGAAGGAGATCTGTGGTCCCGTGACTGGGGGTGAAGGACGGAGCCTTCCACAGACAGATTCCACACGGAGGGGGTGGTGTCTGCCAGCAAGTCCTGGGCCTTCTGGGGCAGCAGGAGATACGCTGTTCCATGAGGTGACGATGTGGGAAGGAACAGTGGTTGGGGGAGGGAACTCCCACCTTATGGGGTTTTGTGAGGATTAAATGATACAATCTTTGTGAAAGCATTTTATAAACTCTAAAATGCCACGGAAGGACAGGTGCTGATTGTGAATGCTTCTACCAGCAACGAAGAGTGGGCAGTTCGGAGAGCACTGATTGTGAGCTTGGGTTTGGTTCTAGGGCCTCAAAGCACTTTGGAGGTGACGTGCAGATTTAAGAACAAGTCCCCCGCCCCACTGCCGTGAGCGGTGAAGTCACTGTTTACGGGAGGGAGGGGAGAGAGAGAGAATAAAGCAAGCGGCTGAGACCAGGAACTGCACGTGGAGGCAGGAGGGCTACAGAGGGGAGAGGTGGGAATGACAGAGGTCCTGGGAGGAGCAGGAGTAGGAGGGGAGCGCTGCGTCCCACTCCCAAGGGCACGGGAGCTTTGGGCGGGAAGTTGTGGTCTGAGGGTCATGGCGCTGTCCTATGGGGAGGTGGGGAGAGGGCACCAGGAGGCCTGGTTTCCATCACAGCCCTGTGGCCTCTGGCCAGTCCCTGGGCCTCTCCGAGCTTCTGTGTTCTCCGCTGAGCATGAGAAACACAATTCCTCCCTCACAGAGCTGAAGGGGACCAGGCGAGATAATGCTGTAACAATGCTATGACCTGCCTCTCATTAGCGGTTATCCCACGGGGAGAAACCAGACGCCACCAGGGGGAAAGGCTTGAAAGGCAAGGAATGGATGAGCCTCTCTCAGCAGCTGGCTTTAGCGAACAGCTGCAGCTGAGTGTTGTTAGTAAAGGCCCAGGAATTAGCAGATGTTTAGTAGCTGGTGGCTGTTTGTTATCAGGAGAGCTGAGCAAAGCCCAGGGAGATAACTGTGGAAAGGCCATGGAGGGAGGGGCCCGCAGCCAGGGACCCAGGGACCAGGGGGCTGTGGTAAGCTGGAGGAGAGGCCATGAGAGCAAAGAGGGGGTAGGCAATAGTTAAAAGGGGGAAGTGGGGGGGGGGCGCCGGGGGTGAGGGGCTAAGGAGGCAGGTCTCCTGGGAAAGGTAAATGTGCAGAGAGGGCAGGCTGCTGCCGTGTGGGGTTCACGGGCACGTTAGAATGTTAGAACCCCCTCCTGGGACCTGCTGCCCCTTGCACGGTGCACCTGTGGCCACCAGAGGGACCAGGTGGGCTGTTCATGGGCACTGTCCTCCTGTCCTGTGGGTGTCCCAGCTGCAGGGTCCCCTGGGGAAAGGCCCCATCACCCAGCGACCTTTCATCCTGTGCAGTGTAAGCTGGAGCAGCAGGCCTGCCTGAGCAGCAAGCAGCTGACGGTGAGGTGTGAGGGCCCCTGCCCTTGCCCCACGGAGCAGGCCGCCACCTCCACCACGGACAGCAAGCCAGGTAATGAGGAGCGCAGGGCCGCAGCCAGGATGGGGTGGGCGGCCTCACTGCCCGGGCTCAGGGCAGTGAGGGGGGTTTGCAGAGCAGTGAGGGAGAAGCAGCAAAAACAGGGACTGGCCTTGGGTAGGGGAGCTGGTTAACGCAGACCAGGAGGGCTTGGGCCTCGGCCACAGGGAGCCAGGCTGTGTTGTCTTAGTGCTAGGGAGTGAGGGGGAAGGAGAAGATGGGAGACGGTGGGAGAGGGAGCCTCCAATTTCTAACTTCCCTTCCTACTGCATCCCTGACAGCTGCCCCACCTCCTGACCCGTAGGCCATCATCCCAAGCGAAGACTGTGCTTGCTGCTTTCACTCACCTTCACCCTCCACCCCTCTTCCTGTTCTGCAGAGACCTGCACGGGCCAGGACCTGGCTGACCTGGGGGATCGGTTGCGGGACTGGTTCCAGCTCCTCCATGAGAACTCCAAACAGAATGGCTCAGCCAGCAGTGGAGCCAACCCGGCCAGTGGTACGGGAGCCCCTTGCTCTGCCCGGGGAGGTGGGAGGTAGACAAGGAGACAGGTGTGCCCGGGGCAAGGCCCCCTTGTACTCCCTCCTGCCAGACTCTGGGCCTCTAAAAGAGCCTAAATCCCAGAACCAGGGACAGTAGGCTTCAAGTGGACAGAAGGGATTCGGGTTAGCTAATTGGAAGAGATTCTTAACATAGGTGGGGGAACTTAGGCCCTGAAATGTAGCCAAGAGAAGGTAAGGAATTATTTTCTCTGAAGGGCTTTCAAACAGAGTTTTGAATGGTTTAAGGGCAGTCCTAGGTAGAGGCAGGGGGATGGATCTGACCCTGAACAGAGGGCTGGGGCTGGTGGAAAGGCGAAGGGATGGATGGACAGATGGAGGGAGCTCTTTACCTTGAGCATGTCGGAACCTCGCTCTTCTCCCCAGGCCTGGACAAGAGCCTGGGGGCCAGCTGCAAGGACTCCATCGGCTGGATGTTCTCCAAGCTGGACACCAGTGCCGACCTCTTCCTGGACCAGATGGAGCTGGCTGCCATCAACCTGGACAAGTACGAGGTCTGCATTCGCCCTTTCTTCAACTCCTGCGACACCTACAAGGATGGCCGCGTCTCTACCGCTGAGTGGTGCTTCTGCTTCTGGAGGGAAAGTGAGTGTGGCCCCTGCCGGGGCCCCTGGCCCTCCTGGGCTCTGCCCCGTGCTCCAGGCTCTACCCCTTGCTCCGGGCTCTCTTTGGGAGTCAGAGGGGATCCGTCTGGGTCGGCCACCAGGTCTGAAAACTTTCCCAGCTCACCCACTTCCTGTACGCTCTCAGTGAAGCCAGCACTTAAACTCCTTTCCTTGGCAGGCTCCCAGGTGGATCCATGTTGTGTGGGTGCTGAAGCTTATGCACCGTTGGAGGCCTCCTTAAAGACAGAGTATTAAAAACTACAGATGTACCATTTCTAGGGACCCTTGGAGGGTGGTGGAAGGGGCTGATGGATCCTGAAGCTAAAGCTACTTTCACTTCTCCATGTTTCCCCTTTTGGGCTCATCTCACATCATTTGCTCCAAATACGTGATTATGTAGGTGATCGTTAACCTTAGAGATATTGCATCATTAGCTGGCTTTATACACTCTGAACCACAGCCGGACATGTGCTTAGAGATCATGTAGGCCAAGTGGCAACTGTCACTGATGAGGAAACTGAGGTCCCCAGGGGTCCGCTGCCCAGCCCAGCCCAGCCCCTGCGGTAGGCCCTGCTGCTCTGCCTGGCTCCGCGGTGGTCATGGGGTAGAAGTAGTGTAGCATCCGTGGCCCAAGGCTCAGGCTTCTGCTAGAGCTCTACCACATGCTGGTTTGGGGCTCTGGGCCGGTCACGGAGCCTTTCTGAGTTGGGTTCTTCATCTGAACTGAGAGATTACAATACCCACCTTGGAGACTGTTGTGAGGATGAACTGAGAAAACCTGGGTGCAGAAAACTGTGAACGAGAAATCCCTCTGCCAAAGAAGGTCTTTTGATCAGGGTTCTTGCGCCTAACTGCCCTGCCTCCCTGCTATCTGCATTGCTCCCTCACTTTCCCTCTCTAGGCCTCTGAGGCTCGTTCTGTAGATTCTGTACACCAGCCTTCTTGGCAGGAGCCTGGGAACAGGTCTCATTTTACCATCAGCCAGGCCCTCAGCTGGAAAGGGCTGGGGGACTTCCCAAGGTCATGGACCTGTTAGATTTGGCCGACAATTATTTTCAGGATTCCAACTAACATCCTCCCTTATGTTCTCCTGGTGGCCGTTATCCCTGGGGAGTGTGTGTATTCACCCCTCTTTTGAATCCAATTTACTCGCCCCCCATGGGTCACCCACCCCCCTCAGAGAGCCTGGGCTTTTTGGGGACCTCGGCCTAACTCCACAGCCATGGAATGGCCTCCCCGAGTTGGAGCCGGGGTGTTTTATCTCACCCAGTGTCTCATGGTGCCCCTGTGTCAGTTTTGGGGACATTAAGAGGATCAGTGCCTCTCCCCACCACCATGGGGTAGCTCCAGACCTGAGCCTGGCCTTTTTCATCTTGCAGAGCCCCCTGCCTGGGACTCTAAGCCTTGGGAGGGGGGCACAGTGAATCCTACCAGCCCCGTGGGACGGCCCCCGTCAGAGGCTGCTTCTCTCCCTGCAGAGCCCCCCTGCCTGGTGGAGCTGGAACGCATTCAGATCCAGGAGGCTGCCAAGAAGAAGCCAGGTGAGGGGCTGGGCTCAGAGGAGGAGGCGGGGGGGGGTGCCCCAGGGTCCCCCTGAGACCCGGAGGGTCCAGCCCCTGGGCATTAGGGACGATGCTGAGCGCAGAGGAGACCTGGCCTAAGAAGACATCCTTGTGATGGGCAGGGTCTCCCAGCTAGCCCCTCAATAAGTGTATTTGCAGCACTAATTTTTGCCTACGCCTGTTGGAGCTAGAGGTGGGGTATATAAGGTTCCCAGAAGCCTCCATTTTATTCAGTTCCTCAGGGCTGAGTGCAGAGCTTGAGTGAGGCCTCTCCAGAGCAGATACTCGCTACTCAACCCTGAGAAACAACATCAAACCCAGCCCAGGTCAGAGCTGGTGGGCAGCACAGACTGGGACACTGGCCTCGCAAAGCACACAGGCTCCCCGGGGAACCCCACACACCAAAGAGCGCAGCACCGCCAACGGCGTCTTGCTGAGGGAGAGCTCGGGTAGACGCAGGTTAACCTGGGGCTCAGCAAAGGCCTTTGGGGTGCTGGCTTTCCAGGGGAGACCTGAGGGATGAGAACGAGCCAGCCAAGTGCAGAGCTGAGGGCAGGAAAACGTTCGAGGTCTTTGGGGAACGGAAAGAAAGGTCCCACGTAGCTGGAGTGTGGTTGTTGTGGGGACAGAGGTCTGAGAGGCAGGTCACGCGGGGCCTCATAGCTCCATGAGAGCAGCTGGGCCTTTAACTGGGCTGATGAGAGCAGTGCACGTCAAATGAACCCTGAACCACACTGCACACCCATGTGGACCGAGAGCCCCGTGGCCTTCAGGGGTGGATTTTAGGGCCACTTCTACCAGGAAGCCACCGTGATCCGCTCTGGCCTGCATCCTGAGCATGCTTGCTGAGCCTTCCGGCACCCATCCTGTGGTGCCCAGTGTTACTGTTTCTCTGTGTGTCTCAGCCCCTTAAATGGGCAGAGTCTATCTCTGGGTCCCCAGAGTGGTGATTTTAGAAGGTGCCTGTTGAGTGGATGGAGGAGCAGCAGTTCTGGAGCCTGAGGGAAAGTGGGTGGGCCCTGAAGGCAGGTCAGAGTCAGAGGGACGGAGAGGAGAGGCCTGGGCATGGCCAGCAGGGGGCAGCCAGGATGGAGGAGCCACTGTGGGTGGAGGGCACTGAGCACCATGAGATCAGGCTGGCCACCTGGCAAGGCTTGAGCCCCTGAGGGGAGGAAGGGGTGGAGGCAGAAGGGAGCCATTGCAGGGCTTGAGCAGGTCATGTAGGGAGGTGGGTTTTCTAGTCTCCAGTCAGTGGAGCTGGAAGAAACACTGGCGTCCGGGCTTGTTGGGTGGTCCGTACCTGGGCTGGTGGGGTCTGGACCCCTGCCCGCAACCAAGGATCTGGGGCCACCTCCCCGAAGAGCCCGTAGCTCCAGGCCCCTGCTCTGACCCAGCTGGGTCCTCTCCATCCAGGAGTCTTCATCCCGAGCTGCGACGAGGACGGCTACTACCGGAAGACGCAGTGCGACCAGAGCAGCGGTGACTGCTGGTGTGTGGACCAGCTGGGCCTGGAGCTGACCGGCACCCGCACGAACGGGAGCCCCGACTGCGGTGAGGGCCGGGCAGCAGCATGGGGGCTCGGCCAGCCTGGTGGGCGGGATTTCCGGCTGGCTGTGGGGAGAGGCGGCCAGCAGGGTCCGACCTTGACCCTGGCTTTTTCACCTCGCAGATGACATCGTGGGCTTCTCAGGAGACTTTGGGAGCGGTGTCGGCTGGGAGGACGAGGAGGAGAAGGAGACAGAGGAAGCGGAGGAAGCGGGTGAAGAGGCTGAGGAGGAGGAGGGCGAGGCAGGCGAGGCAGACGACGGAGGCTACATCTGGTAGACGGTCCTCGGGGGGGCCGCAGCAGGGGGACAGGCCAGCTGAGACCTGGAGAGAAGCAGGCAGCTTATGAATGGATCCGGATAAATCAACTGGAAGGACCCTGGCTTCAGCAGGAAGAGCGGAAGTGTGAGTGTGCATGGCATGCCTGTGGCCCGGACGTAAGAATGCCTGTGTGTGCGTGTGTGTGCGCGCGTGTGTGTAGCATGCACTGACAAACGTGTCCTTGGTCCACACTGCTCCTGGCAGAGTGAGTCACCCAAAGACCTTTGGCCTCCTTGTAGTTATTTTCTTTTCATTTGTTGTTAGTTTTCAAATACACATGTTCACATATACACAGCCACTGAAAGGTCAAAACTGATGACATGAGACGCCTCTCCAGCCATGTCCCCTAGCTGCATCCAGGCCCGCCCTGACACCCATGTCCCGATTGGCCACCCTCGGCTCAGCCAGCCCTGACTCTTCCCGCCCCTGCCTGCCCTCCTTCCTCCCCATTCTGAGGTCAAGCTCTGGCCTGCTGGCATGTCCCCATCGCAGAGGGGAGGGAGGCCAAGGAGCTGTCTGCTGGCTGGGAGTCTTCCCAAAGCTCGGCCAATTTGGCTGTGCCAGCCCCTCCCGCCTCAGATGGGATGGGCCAGGACACCCACCCCAGCAAGCGCTTTCCCTTTGCGGGACTCCCCAGCACCAGAGAAACTCTCCTGCCCTAAGCCCGTGTGACTGAGGTGGCCAAGGAGGAGCTGGGGGCACAAGCTGAGGAGCAGGGGGAGGGAAGGCCTTGTCACGCTGCCTGGGGCTGAAGCGGGGTGGGGAGCGGATGGGGCTGACGGGCAGGGAGTGGCCGCCCTTGCAAAGCCGGACAGGACAGCCCTGAATAAAAGACCCAGAATAGTCCAGCCTCTTTCTGTGGGTCTCGGGGTGGGGGGCATTCCCTTGGGGACAGTGGGTGGTTGTTATGTAAGTTAGCTCTGCCTGGCCATGTGAGGTGCCACCTCTGCCCCTGTCCCCTTTGCTGGGGTCCCCTGGTCCACTCTGGGAGCCTGAGGATCAGGCCTTTGCTGGGGTGTATGTGTGCACCCACCTCCTCCCTGACCCCTTAATAAACGCTGCCCTCCCACGCAGACCAGTAGAAAGGGTTCTCCCTGAGACCCTGAGAAGGAGGAGCAGAGGAAACCTGCAGCCTCCGCCTGCCGAGACCTTGACCTTTTCCCATCTTGCCTCCTCAAGGGGGAGGCACTTCGGTGCCATGAGCCATTTCCAGCCTCACTCCTCAGCTCCTGGCGTTTGCCCTGTCCCCTCTGAGGGCCCCCTGAGGCTGCTGTAACGGAGGGGCTTCTCCAGGCTCTGAAGTAAGTGTTCTGGAGTTGTGAAAAGTCAGAGGGGAGGGACTGGGACAGCCAGGCCCTGAGGCCGCACCTTGCTGTTCCCCCAAATCTCTTTACCAGGTGGGAGCTGGGGTCGATGAGAAGGTGCCCGTGCCTCCCCCACCCCAACTTGTCTAGTTCTCCCTCTTGAAGTAAATCCCTAACTCCGCTGGTGAAGGACTTCTTACCCAGGCTTGGGCCTCTGACGCCCTTCGGTGCGCGGTGAGGGCGGTGTGAGTGTGTGTGAGAGTGTGTGTCTGTGTGTGTGTGTGCACGTGTGTACATGCACTCACTTCGCGTGACACTCGGGGCCATCCGTGGAAGCCCGGGATGTGAGGAAAGGCACCCTACGTGCTGGGTGGGTGGCAAGGTGTGGCTACTGCCTGGTGAGGTTCCCTGCACAAGGCCCCGGCCTGAGCCTCCCCGGCTTCTGCAGCGTCCGCCGCACCTGTTGGACTTGATGGAAGAACCTCAGCCAGTCTGTCCCTTCACTCCGCCCTGGATTCACACCTTCCAAGTCTTCTCTTGGGGAAAATAATGACACTCCAGTTAGCCTCATAAACCGCTTCTCATTCTGCAGCACAGGTTCTGATCACTATGGTGTCATGCTGTTCCAGATCCCCCGTGTCCCGTGTGCCCGCTCCCCCCTCCCCTGTCCTCCCACCTCCTCCCTCTGGTCCCCAGCTCAGCTCAGTTCAGGGAAATGTTCACATTAGCCCTCTGCTCTCTGAGCAGCCACTTCTCTCACTCGGAGCTACTTGAAACTTCCTGCGCTCTCTAGGATTGAAGCCTGTCTGTCTCTTCCTCTGCCCCAGTCAGGCTTCGGGGATGTCCTCCTGGGGGCAGTGGTTGAGGACGCAGAGGCACTCTGGGGCGGGAGGGCCGGGGGGGGACGGGCGCCTTTCCCCCTCACTGTCACCCTCCTCTCCAGCGGGGCGGGTATACTCCCTCTGTGTCTCTGGGTCTTCTGGTTGTGCACGTTTTTATGACCTTGTAAATACGTTGTAGAAAGAAAGCGAAAGGCGCTGAACTGGACCCTGGTGGACTCAAGAGCCCAGCCTTGCCCTGTCCCCAGAGCCCCCACACTGCTATTTATCCCGCTCTCGAAACCGAGCCCCCCAAAGCTAGATGAAGCAGCTCGTTCCCAGTGGGCTAAAGGCCCCCAAGCGACTCTCCTCAGGCACGCTGCAGGTTTCCTCGTGAGCAGGGTTACCGCGGGGTCGTTCCTCGGCTCCTGGGATTCATGCCCTTGACAAGCTGCCCACCGCCTGGCCCCTCCCATGCCCCTCTACTTGGATGTCCTCTGTCCACCCTGTCCCCATTCCCCCGGTGTATGCAGGCAGTGGAAAAGAGCTCAACCAAAATTTTCAAAGAAGAGTTGCTTGCGGGCCCTGGGGCTGCCTGAGACCTCCTCTCCCGCGGGTGCTGGGAGAGACGGTCCGTCTCAGATGGGGTGGTTTGGAGTTGGAGAGAACAGATGTGCCTTGAGAGACCACTTACGGAGCGTCCAAGGGTGAGGAGGGAGGAGGCATGGCGTGGAGCTCAGGAAGGAGGAGGGGGAGGTGACGTTGATGAGAATGTGACGGGTTATCACAACGGCCCCTGTTGTCCCAATGGGGCTGTGACCTTCTGGGGTCAGTGGTCACCCTTCTTTCCTCATGCCAGCCTGTCTAGTTTTAGTGGGCAGGCCACTCACTCAGCCTTTCATGAGCTGCATCTTCTTCCCATTCACCTCTGAGTGGGTGGGTCCATTGGGATCAACATACGAACCTCCATTTCACCAAAGCCTCCCCCTCAGCCACTGGGGAGAAAGAATGGCGAATCCGCTGACACCTGGCATCATCGTGAGGCTGTGGGTGGCAGGGGTAAAAGGGAAGAGCCGCTAGGGGTGCAAGAGGGGACTCAAGACATCCCAAGGAAGTCCCAAGCAGAGCAAACTGCTTTATAGCCTGAAGCTACTTAAATTAAACTGTGTCATGTGCAATAACTGAGCTTAGAGTTAAGAATTGTGTTCAAGTGCTTGGATTTCCGTCTGTATATTTAAGTGCTGAAATTGTATCTCTCAGTAATTTTAGATGTCTTTTTAAAAAAAATCAAAAAACAAAGTGTTAGACCGTGTGTGTGCATTGATGGGCACTCAAGCGTCCCGTGGATCACCCCCCCCCTCCCTTCCCCGGGGCCCCCACCCCTCACACCCGAGCCCCCGCCTCCACTTGGGGCCCCTGCCTCGTGTTGTCTTTATCTGCCTATTACTCAGCCTAAGGAAACCAGTACACTCCACACATGCATAAAGGAAATCAAATGTTATTTTTAAGAAAATGGAAAATAAAAACTTTATAAACACCACCTATTGGCAATACTCTGATTCTTCTTCCCCTTGGTGTCACTTTTCACTGAAATGGCATTGACAGATGAGGTCCCAGAGCACAGGCTCCTCCCTGGTCAGCTGTGCCTCTTTGTCCCCTTCCTACAGGAAACCTGGGGAGGGTGGGGCTGGGAGAAGGGGACTGACCTACCGAGCAGGGACCAGGAGCAACTTAGAGATATTTTTGGTATTAGTGCAAATATATGTGCAATCTTTATTTGTCTATATATTTGCCAGTAAATACATCTCTATCACAAAGTAGAGATTAAACTGTATGTCCTGCTTTTTTCATTAAACTATTATGAACCTTTCCCCATGCTATTAAAATTATTTGCAGGCATGACTGGAATATGTACATAGTATTCCACAATATGATGTAATCCAATGATCATAACCATTTCTCTGGTTTTGGACAGTTCTATTGTTTCCAATTTCTCGGTACTCTCAACTCCAGCCCTAGGACTTGCTAACTATGATTTGGGGCAAGTCATCAGGCAGATGGGGAGAAGGGCCCATCACACAAGGGTCCCGCCCCTGCAGAAGTGCCTTCTGAACTGCGAAAGCCGTGCCCAAGCGTCTGCTCCTGCCTGGGTGCCAGCCCACAGCTAGGTCAGGCTCTGCAAGGAAGGAGCTCCTGGGGGGCCGCGGGGGGGCATGCAGGATGGTTTTCTGCCCTTTGTTTTTCTCATGGCTACCTGGAAGGTCAGCCCTGGAGGCTGAGGAGTCTTCCTGGAAGGAAGTGTGAGGGAGTGTTGTGTCTTGACAAGGAGCCGCCCCCAGCACACACGAGGAAGGAGAAAGTGCATGGAGACAGGGTGGGGGCAGGGGGGCCGAAAACCCCTGGGAACTGGTTCCCCCTCTGGGCTTGTGGGAACCTGAGGTTTTGGAAATGGAGGAACCGTGGGGCAGGGGTGGGTTGGAGGCTGGTATGGGTCAGTGGAAGCATCTTATCTCAGCATACGAGGTAGGTATTATTACTCGTGCCCATTTTGCTGATGAGGAAATTGAGTCTCAGAGAGGTTTGGTAACTTGACCAAGGATATACAACTGGCGAGGGGCAAAGCCTGGATTCTGCTCCCTATCTACCATCGGACGCAGAGCAGGCTGCCGTCACTGCCCAGTGACTGTCCTCCTGTGGCCCCCATGCGCTCAGAGGAGGAGGGCCGCCTGCATGGGGTAAGTTCAGGAAGGCTACCTAGAAGAATAGCACTTCAGCGAGGTCCCCTGGATGGGTGGGAATGCTCTAGTGGCTCACCCTGACCGTACATTAGAATCGCCTGGGGAGTCTAGGCTCCCCGGGCCCCACCCCCAGACTCTGATTTCATTGTTCTGGGCTGGGGCCTGGGTGTCGGTGCGTTTGCTCCCAGGAGACGCTGGTGTGCAGCCGTACGTGTACTATCAGGCTGAGCAGATGGAAGCAGGTGTGTCCCTCATGACGACAGGATGCGAGAGGCCAGGGCAGGAATAGGCCTGTGAGGAGCCGCGGCTGGGCCTTCATCTCTGGGTGGGGGTGGTGTGAGGCCTGCAGGCCAGTTCAAGGGCAGGAGCAGGAAGCTCCAGCCTTTTCCTGGCAGGAGGGCTTCTGTTTTTTTTGTTTCATGCAGCATCTTGTCAGTCACCAAACCAGGCCTGGGTACCGGTCACTGAGGAGCCTGCAGCCTGGAACCTTCCGAGTCAGCGTCTTCAACCTGCAGGTAATGTTGACATTTGCACTCGATCAACATTTGTTCAGGTGACTGGGAGATGGAGGCCCCGCAGGGCCCTGGCTTCGGAAACAATACGTCTGTTGTCACCGTTATCTGGCACCTGGGTTCCCAGGGCAGGCGGCAAAGAGGGACAGACCCAAGTGCTGACAGCCGATCAGGAAGCACCCGCAGTCCACCTCTCAGACACAGTCCCTCAGCATCGGTCTCCCACCCTGTCCCTGCACGGCAGGTGCCACCTCATTCTGCTGCATTGTTTTTCCTCCGGATTTTGTCTCCTGGGGACAGAGGCTTTATATTTACTGCTCTCAGGGGAATAACTGGGGCCTGAGAACAAATCTAAAAGAAAAAAGACAAACCACTTGCAAACCCGTACAGGTATGCGGGGCTGGCACTGCCTGCCACCTGGGCCCTGCGCTGTGGTCGGCCTCACAGCTCTGGGGGGTTTGGAGAGGTGCGGGAGTGATCAAGAACAAAAGAACAAGCGAATGACAACAACAAAACCCCAACTTTAAAAAACAACTTTTGAAATTAATTTTTGAGCAAAACAGGTGAGGGAGAGAGGAAAACACAAAAAATTGTGTGTTCCCATCAATGTCCTGCCTGCTTTTTACATAGTGTTGCTCAATCCCGCCATGAGGCACGTATTACTTACCCGTTCCAAGGTATACAGAAGACAGCTGTGCCTCTGGGGGTGACCTTGACTCACGCCGCCGTACATGCTGAGCCACGATGTCCCCAGGCCTTGCAGGCTCCATTGTCAGCCCCCAAACTCTGCTGCCTCTCCCGGGGTTACACCTGCAACGGGATAGCACAGTCAACACCACAGAGAACCTGCCCCTTCACAAACACAAACGACTGGGGGCGCGCGTGCCAGCGAAGGGCATGGGAAGGAAGGACACCGCATTTGTACGGCCCTTTCTCTGAACTTGCATCAGCACCGCTCCATGAGCCTCAGTTTCCCCATCTGTAGGATGAACAGATTGGAATAGATTGCCCAGTTTTGTGATTCTGTGGAAGAGTGCAAAGGTATGACTCCAGAAATCGGTTTCAGGATTTTCTCTCTCTCTCTCTCACGTTCCACATTTACTCTAATTAATCCCCAAGGATTAAACAGAGTTGCAAAGAAAATTAACTGCTATAAAGAGAACACTGGAGAAGGGACGTGAGTCATAGCAGCTGCCTTTCTGAGGGCTCAAATGGCCAAGTGCTTCTGTTCGGGACATTTACAGGTGCAGGGTGTCCAGGCAGCGGGGGCGCTTACAGTGTGTGCAGGCCGTGGCCAGACCGTGGAGCACGGTGCTTCCTCAAGCTGGAGGAAACGGCTGGAAGAGGCAAGCACCATCGCCGTGTGACGGCAAAAGAGGCCGAGGCCGGGTGGTTACGTCACTGACGCTCGTGGCTGGGGCGGACGTTGACCTCAGGCTCAGCCACGCCAGAGCTTCCGCCCGCCATTTCATCTGAGCCTTACAGCGACCCTCCTCATCTTATGGATGCGAACACCAGTCACCCGGCCTTCTGTCACAGTCTTCTCAGTTTCCCCTTTGCAGGACGTGAGGCTGAGGGCATGGGTGGCAAAGAGCACGTGGCTGCGTAAGGGGCTGAGCTGGGACTTGCCCCCAGGCTGCCTGGCTCCAGGGGCCCTGCTCTGAGCTGCCGCCTGAGAGAACTCTTTTTTAAAGCTTCTATATGCATGTATTTTATGCAGAATTTATTCCCGGACCACAAGTTCTTTTTTAAAAATTGAATTTAGGGGGGTTACATTAGTTAATAAAATTATGTAGGTTTCAGGTGTACGATTCTATGATGCATCATCTGTGTGTCATATCGTGTGCTCGTCACCCCAAGTCTCTCTCCATCACCATCCCATCCCCCTTTACCCTCTCCTGCCCCTCCCCCCCCGCCCCCCGCCCCCCGCCATTTCCCTCGGGTAGTGACCATACTGTAGTCTGTCCAGGAGGGGTTTTTTGTTTGTTTGTTTTTTACTTAATCCCTTCACCTCAGGCCATAGGCTTTTGTTTCTTTCGTTTCTTCTGGGATATCTTTTTCTTCTGTACAGCCTCCTCCTCTGGGTTAGGAACAACCTGCTCTTTTTCAGAAGGGTCACCCCCGTGTGGCAGGGAGAGCTCATGGATGGGTTAATCAGTCCACGGGCTCTTGGGCTCTGTAAGTTCTGGGCTGCATCTCGGGAGCTTTGTTCACCTGGGCGTGCTCAGTGACCCGAGAATCTGCATCTAAACCCTTAAGTTCGGCATTACTCTGCATTTTTAAGCACGTGCAGCAAACGCTCAGCACTGTTTTGGGGCCACCCACCCCCGACCCACCCAACTGTTCGGCCTGGACACACATACCAACTCCACCATTGTAACTACAGAATGATACACATCGGAAGTGACATCTTTCAGCTACTTGGTGGCTTTTTGGATATGCAGACCCTTGATGGTCTGGGCGGTTTCATGAGTGTTCTTGAAGTGAACACGGGGATTTGAACCTGTGTGATTTGCATGATTTTGTGGGGTTTTCTGAGTCAAACGAACAGCGAATTGTTTTCAGAAACTTCCTCAGGCTGCTTACAGGAAGATTTTATTTATTTTTCAAGAGAGGAGAAGGGAGGGAGAAAGAGAAGGAGAGAGACATCAACGTGAGAAACATTGATTGGTTGCCTCTTGTACTCAACTTGATCAGGGACCAAACTCACAACCCAGACATGTGGCCCCACCAAGAATTGAACCAGCAAACTTTCACTTTGCAGGATGACACCCAACCAACTGAGCCACAGCAGTCAGAGCTGCTATGAACTTTTGGTGCTGCTTCGACTCTTCGTGCTGCTTCTCTAGAAGCCTGGGCAGCCTCGGTGCCTCTTCCTCTGGGGCGGGCTGGCCTCTCGAGAAGGCTGGGCTGACCCCTGGGCTCAGCCTCCTGCTCTTCGTCCCGTCCCTTCCTGATTTGCACACGCAATGAGAAGGTGGGTGGTTTCGCTTGAACATTAGTTCCCCAGGCCCTAGTCGGGGAAGAGAACCCTCCCTGCACTGTGTACTCTCACTCATATTTATGGTCAGTGACAGACACCACTGGAGACTGCACGCAGAGCGGGGCAGCCTTCCCTCCACCCCACCCCCAGCCTCCTTCCCAAGCCCATGCCAGGCAGCTGGCCCCAGCTGGTCCTCCGACACTTGCCTTGCCTGGGGGACCTGGCAGCAGCTAGATGCTCAACGTGAACTATATCTGCCCAGGGACACTCAGGACCGGAC